GCCAGGAGCTCCTCCACCCTACTTCAGTGGAGCTGCTGGTTGCAGAAACTTGCTCAAGGTGAAGATATAAGGAGGGTTGAGTATGTGGGTTACAGGTGAATGTAATTTAAACTAGGGCTTTTATGGAGGGTCTATCATCAGAAGTTAAATCCTTGGAAAATATGGCAGTCAACAGGGAGAGTAGAAGAAACAGAGGACAATTTAGGTTTTGGGTAGACACAGTCTCACCCCAGAGGCGCCTCTCTGTGCTGGCAGTTTTGCAGTATGAATAGATAAATCAGTTGTGTAGAACTGAAGGCTACATTTGTTTTATTCTCAGGGTCAAGACGCTTCAGTAGCAGCTGCAAAAAATGAAGGTCTGCGACTGTCTGAACCAGAGTAAGACAGGGACTAGCAACCTGCTGTATTTTTTTTTTTTTTTGCTATTAAACACAACGAATGCTGTGAAAATCAGTGGAAAAGGAAATGATTTGTTTCCTTGTAGTGACCTACCTCTCGTGAATCCACTGCTGCATACATAATATCCATCCAACCTTTAAATGTGGCCTGAAAAAAACCCCACAAAATACATAATTAAACATACTAAACAAGTGTATCTTGAAATGATGTTATCGTATCTGTGACGAGTTTTCAAAATGCAGTGTTGAGCATGTTCTTCACAGTTAATGGATTGCCTCTCCTTTAATGCAATATGAATCCATGAGCTTACGTTCATTTAGACATTTAAAATCACTCCTGAATAGCTTTCTCCTGGATTCTTTCATTCATGTTTTCTGATTTTCCGCACTTGTAGGGATAAACCAGAAGTTTTTAAAATAGATTTTAAGAAGGAGACAAAACTTGACAATTAAATCTTTTTTTTGACCTTAAGAATTTCAAGTGATGAAGAGATACAGCTACACAGGACAACTCAGAGTGCCGTCCTGCACAAGTCTCGGATCAGGCAAGACAGATCCCACCCATACTGCTTGTTCGGACTGGTGGGCAGTGACTACTTTGTAGGATCCCACCGAAACTTGGATTCTGCCCTTTTTTAAAATAGGCTAAATGAAGGCAAAATTAAAGCCCAGGGAGTCTCATAAATCACAGCTGACTTGAAAGGAGCAAAGGCAATCAACACCTGCTGTGAGCCTGGCCCTGGAAACTCAATATCTGACTTACTGTTCAGATATTTTTTTTAATCAGGGGGTTTAATTATTAATTTTTTAAAATTGTTTAAACAAGGAAGGATTCCACAGAAGTCAGTGTCTCTTACTGAACAGTGACAACATTCCTAGGAGAAACATGTAGAAGTGGGTTTTATTATTCTGTAGCAAAACCATGCCTCTGCTCTCAGTATATGCCTCTCGTTATACACAGCCCTGTGACAAACACACCTGGCGTTATGTCTGACTCTGGCCTAAGCCACATTGCCTTCATATTAGTTCTCTGGGGTTGTTTCTCATTTGACTTCTGACCCATTTAGACTTACCCTGGATTTAAAATCAGTGTGAGCAGATAATGAGGCATTTTTAGATTTATCCATTTAATCAGATTTACACTAGCATGCATGAAAGACCAACTCCAATATTTTTTTTTTTTTGCATCCCACTGACACTTTGGTTGAATTTTCTCCTGGTACACAAATCCAGAAAATGCTAATAGGAATTTGGCCAGTGGTTCCCAGGAGAAACCCAGCCGTTTGTGTTGAGCTAGGTACATTGAGCGGTTTTAGAAATGCTCCATTATACACTCTGTATTATTAAATTAAATCCTGGATGTAATGCTGCCTTCCCATTTCCCTTTCAAGGCTACTGAACCAAAGGAAGATGTTGTACAAGAGGTCAACCATAATTCTCGTGACATTAAGTATAAAATAATGTTTGAAAAGTTACATCCATTTTTGTCTGCTGGCTGAAAGAGATTAAACCCCCCAAATCAGAACCTTTTGGAAAATCTATGCCATGGTACTCTGTGTTAAAAAACACTTTAGATGTAAAGTGTTTACAGGAATGATCAGCAGTTTTATTGAAACGAATAACTATTTGAACCTGTCATGCTGATCCTCCTTAACTGTTCTAGTATTTTCCTTTTTTGCTGTTCTCTTTCTAATCTGATGGAAGATTTTCTGGTGTCATTACAGTCACTTGCAGCTTCCAGCTCAAAGTGCCATTCAGGAAGGGTGGACGAGGTGAAACAAGAAATCCTTTCCCTGTGGCACAAAATGATATGATCTTAGCCTGTACTTTTCTCCCACTTGGGAGAAAATCTTTTCTCTTGAGTAGCTATTTTACCCCTCAATATGTACCACAGACAGTAGAGACTCTACTGCAAGGCACAGGGGTTTATAGTGATAACAGATGATGAAGTGATCTGACAAAAACAAATATTAAGAGAATGAAGTACTGTGATTTTCTGGTTTTCCCACTTGTCCAGAAGTAGGAGAATTAAAAATCCATGGGGCTTCTGGAAAGCTTCCCTAGACACTTCATCTGCAGAGGGTAAAAGATACTGAGAATGAAAGAAATATAACACTGGGGAAAGAAATTATTTATCTGGAGTTAGTAACCACTTACACTCTGGATAAGGAAGTGACAAAATCATAGGAGTGTTTGTGATATTATCCTGTCTGGAAGCTGTCCAGAGAAACACCATTTTCTACTGAAACTGTCATGTGATGAGATTATCTACTGATAAACTCATCTTTGGATGGGATTACATTTTGTTATTTGACTGGTGGTTAGAACTGCAACACAGTAAATTAGTGGGGAGAAGGATAGGTGGGATGGCACTAGCTGCCCTCAAAGCATTTATTGTAGAATCACAGAATCACAGAATGTCAGGGGTTGGAAGGGACCTTGAAAGATCATCCAGTCCAACCCCCCCGCCAGAGCAGGACCACCTAGAGCAGGTCACACAGGAACACGTCCAGGCGGGTTTTGAGTGTCTCCAGAGAAGGAGACTCCATAACTCTCTGGGCAGCCTGTTCCAGTGCTCTGTCACCCTCACAACGAAAAAGCTTTTCCTTATGTTAATGTGGAACCTCCTGTGCTCCTGCTTGTGCCCGTTGCCCCTTGTCCTGTCATTGGACGTCACTGAGAAGAGCCCAGCTCCATCCTCCTGACACTCACAAATGGTACCTTAAAATAAAACAAGCCTTTAAATCTGTAGGGTTGTGGGTTTTTTTCCTAGAAAAGGACAGCAAGAGTGCAAGAAAAATGGCTGGTTTTGGTGGCAGAAATACTGGTCTTTGCATTTCTGAAATGCTTCTTTAAGCCTTGCTATTGGTGAGAGAAATTTCTGAAAGCTGAAAGAGAGCCACCAACAGTACAGCCAAACTACACATATTTAAGTTGGCTATGCTAACTCCACTATCTTCTAGATTTTGTGTTGAATATTTCAGTTTATTCAATTTCATCATAGCAGCAGTTTTATACTGAACATTTGTTTTATGTTTATTTTGCATTAAGATGATTTGCTGGGGAGGGTGTCACCAAGCATTGGACCAACCAGAGCACTTCAGAGTTCTGCACTGCGCTGGGCTAGGCGGGCTCCAAGGACACTGCCGCTGCTCCCCTCGAATTTCCACCAGTAAGTCCTCATGGAAATACTGCTTAGTCCTGATCTTTGGACATACGGAGAAATCTACCCTGGAACACTGAGTTATGGTTTGTTCAGAAGCACAGATTTCTTTGCGCATTTTGCATCCACAGTGAAAATAAAATCTAACATTACAGTTTACAGAAGTGCAAGAGATCATGTAACTCAGTAACTTTAGACACACGCCGCTGTCTCATGACCTCTTTGTAGCTGATTTATGAGCTCAGTCATGACTTCAAACCCGGCATGAGGGGCTGACTTAACTCTACAGCTCCTGATTGCTGTATGGGTCTAGGAGTGCTTCTGTTATCTTCCCGTTCCTTATCTGTAGTCCCCGAGTGACAAAGGGTTGTAGGACATATTAGATGTAAGCCTCTTCCTGTTTAAGGAGAACTTTTCCAAGCAAGCCAGGTGCTGCAGGAAAGACCACTTGTTTTCTTGGTATTCTTCAACAGATTGCAAAAAAAATATGTGGAGGAGATCATAACACGAAGGGAAAGATCCTGCAAGGGAAATGCAAAACTCCTACTGGAAATTTAAGATATTTCTTTGTTCAGTTCAAATACAGATTTATAGAACATAGGTGCTCTGATCTGCAAAGCAATTCTGAGAATATAGAAAAAGCATTACTGAAGCACTGGGTTGTAGCAATAATTTTTTCCTAATAGATTAGGGTGTTAAGGGTGTTAAATCCCCAGAAGAGCGAATCATCCTTCTTGCAAATTAAAAAGTCGTGATAATGAAGATCTTTTCCTCCCCGTGAATGAGGCATTTCTCTTTCTTGTAGAGTAAGCAGAGACTACCTCCTATTTTAGTAATCTGTTCTGAGACAGCCCATTTGTTAGTTGGAGAAGCTTGAAACTTGACTGACCACTGCACATGAAAGTTTTCTCAGACTCATTAATTCAAAGCAGCATCTTCAGAACAACATGATAGATCCTAAACAAGGTAGGAAAAGAGCAAAGCATATTTGGGGAAAGTTTCATGCAATTCTCAACTACACTGTCAGAAAGTTTGCCTCTGGATAGTAGCGAGCCTTTAAGTTTCCGTAGTAGCAACTTCTCATTCCTGTCAAAGATGCTGCAGAAGTGAAGACGGCAGACAGATTTGTTTTACCTATTTCCATTTGGATTTTCAGACACATTCAGGCATCCGAAGGTAAATTCAGAGTCACTTAAAGAATGTGTTGCAGCAGCTGAAAATGTCAACAGTCAAAAGACAAGTCCCACTTAAAAGCTCATATTTTGGATCCCAGAGGGCTGTAACCAGAATGCTTATCTCACCATTGCTACACACTGTCTCAGTGTGCACAAAGATGCACAGATGTGTCTGTCTCTTTAGGAGAGCTGTTAACTGATCCCCTGCAATTCCTATGGTAGTTTGCTCATGAAATGCAACCCCATATGGAGGATATTTGGCAAGGAGCACCTGTAACCAACACTCCTCAGATGGAGTCTGGCAAAGGAGATCCAGATGTTTGGGCCCCTTCTCTGTGGGTGTCATCTTTACACTTTATTGCCTAAGACTGTCATTAGCAGCAGACATAAGAGCTCCAGGTGAAGGATAAAAGTTAAAATCATTCCCCTAATGGCATCTGGCTCCTGCCCTTCCTCCTGGAAGAAGAAGCCAGCACATCTCATACAAACTGAGCAAGGTTTTAGGGCTCCCTCATTTCCTGCCATAATCAATTTGTCCAGCCTGCACAGACTCTACGTTTCTGTCACTTTTGTACTTCTGCAACTGGAAAACCTACTTCTTGGCTGCCCAATACAGGATCACAGCTTTGAAAGAAACCTGCAGGGTTATCAAGTCCATATTCAGCTGGAAAACTGCAGTACTAGACCACCACTTCTGTGCTGAGATCCACCTTAAGATCAGTTATGTTTCTTCTCCCATCACTGATCCCAACAGAAGGCAGTCCCACCTGCTGAATGCAACCAGTATCACCAGTGCCAAGTGTCCAGGAACGGATACTGCAGAACAGTAGAAGAGACTGCTTCAGGATTGCTTAGGCAATGCCAATTTATCAAATGTTGCAGATTTTCAGAAAGATGGAGCTTGAGTCTTATAAAAAAAAAAAATGATGAAGGAATAACTACTACTCTAACGAAGTTTTTTCACCACAGAAACTAGGCATCTGTTAGGCAGCCATGGAGGAGATAAGATTCAGGTAAGACACAATATGGAAATTTTTGCTCTACTAGATTAGATGTTTAAATAAAAGACAAAGAAAGTACTATATAGAATGGAAAATCTAATTAAAGACATTCAAAGTGAATTAATATACCTTGCTTGGGTAAGCTGAATATCATAATTAAATGCAAAAGATAAAAGCTCTTGCTCTCAGCAAGTTCAGCTTTATGTCATGGAAAGAACGAAAAGTGGTTGTGCCCATTCTAACATTTCTGCTTTCCAGAGGGTCTGAAAGCAAAGACTCAATGGACAGTGGTCAGAAGATCTCAAACGTGTGTATGTACCAGGAACAGAGTATATAAGGATAAGCATTTCTACAAGAAAGGAAAACTGCTTCAAGGAGCTATATCGTGTGTCTGTGACAGAGAAGAAAAGATGTAGGAGAAAGGAAACTTGCATTGTGGGAAGGAGAAGGGCTGGCAGATCTGACGGGGACCTGTGGGAGGCTAATGCCTTTTTGGAAGGGCAGGTGGATACCCTACTGTATTGCAAAGGGTGGGTATCTATATGTAACAACTGAATTGAGCTCCCAACACACAAGTTTTTATTCCAGAAGCAAGGAATGCCATCACAGGTGCTTCAAGAAAGTAACCTCCTTGTCCAAGGATGTAGTGAGGGACTTGTTCAACTCTGCATAGGTAAAATGCAACACAAAACCCACTCCTAGTACGTACACAGCCCTTGTCATCACTCCGCTTCAGAGCAAATGAAGAATAATGGAAATAGGTATCATTACCGCTATTTTATGTGAGAGCCCCATGGAATGAAAACACAAAGAATTTTGTCTAAAATCACACAGCAGTCCAGCAGAAGAGTCTGGACAAGAAGATGGAGCCTCCTGTGGCTCTATCCATTGGGTTGTACTGCGTCACAACACAGTAAATCTCAGTGCATACAACCCATTTATTCATGTTTTACATTTGCTACTGAAAAAGGTTGTAAAAGTGCCTTACTTCTGTCTTCATAGATCAAATATTGCCATCATCTTTGAACCTCAACACTCTCTTCTCTGATATGCTCTCAGCACATTTCCAGAGAGACCAGGAGGTATGGAGTTACAACAGTCTGATCACCACCATGTTTCGTAGCTAGGTTCAATCTGGCTCATTACGTATGGCAGGTGGAAATGAGGCGAGGAACCAGAATGAGAGGCACCAGTGTCCTTCTCAAACATCTCCGTGGAAGGTGAGCAGAGGACTGTAAATTAAGATTTCTCTGTGATTACAGCTTTATGCAGTAGCTTCAGCCGAATAACAGAAAGCACTGCAAACTCATTTTTTCCCAGCAGGGTATAGTGAAGTCCCAGGCTGTTCAGGAAGGCCAGTGTACTCTGTCTGCGTGAACAGTCCTTCCTGGACCACGACTATTTTTTTCTGGAACTCTGGATTACAATACTGACAAAATGGTCTGTAATTCACTTCAAAAATCCAATCACCTCCCAGAGGACTGTATTAGTGGTACACCAGAAACTCAAATTAAGACCAGATCCTACCATAAAGATCTCTAGACCAAATTAATATGCCAAACATGATCCGTTTACACTTGAGGAAAGGCATTCCCCTGATGGGTAAGGCTGAAAAAACCAGAAAAGCGTAGAGGTTATCCTGAGCCTTTAAACTGATGATTTCAATGGGAACAAGCAACATTTGCCATGAGCTTCTGGTGGTCACACTTACCACTTGTAGCAGAGCCAGGTACCCAGCACCAACATTATCGAAGTTAACTTTGACTTTTGTCCAGTAAAACGTGCCTGACACATTATAGAGAATGCAGTCACTCATGTTGTTAATAATTTTAGAGTCTAAAGGCATATCTCCTTCTGTCTTATTAATGCACTTCCCAAACTTCCCAGCAAACAGGTTCACTCCCATGATGCTAAAGATAAGCCAGAAGATGAGGCAGACAAGTAGAACATTCATGATGGAAGGGATGGCTCCCACGAGGGCATTGACCACCACCTTGGGGGAAACAGGAGAGGAAAAACGGAATTAATGTCAGCACTCATATAGACACTTCGTTAACAAGTGTTGTGCATCCTTGATTGACTAGGCTGAACCCTTACATGGTGACAGGTAGATAACTACAAACATTACCTAAGAAGCAGACCGCCTTTAAAGGCTTCACACGTGATTATTTTTTCCTTTTGTAATTGAAGAGTTAATCTGTTGGCAACCCACCCATGGGATGATGTTTTTTCAAGAGTAATCTTTTAATTCAGGACCAGTCTGTGAAGTCATCTTGGCCTCTCAGATCCAGCTGGATAATACACTTTAGTCAAACTATCTGTCATAATCATATGATTAACTCGAAATGGCTACGGCACATCACAGTGTCTCAAAACAGACAAAAAAAATATTGCTGAAATCTTTTACTGAACTCAGGCTTCCATAGTCCTTGGGATGTGAACTCTAACTGTGATAAATTTTGCTTATTTAAATAATAACTGATTGAGACATACTGTGCTAAGCCAGCTTCCCCTGTCTGATCAGTATGCATGATTAAAACACTGAAAACAGTCTAATTTAACAAAAAATGCATTATTTTGTCCTGTGACATGCTGTAAAGTTCCTACATATGAACCAGGCAGGGCTGTAAACTCCTGTGTAAAATCATATGTAAAAATGAAAAGCAGAAGGAGCTTTTCAGGTGTGGGAATGATGGCACTGGCAATGGAAACCATTCTGAAGCCATGCAAAAAAGGTCAGACCATCTACCTCTATAGATGTCAGGTTTGAATGCAGCATTACAATACCAGTACACCAACCAGGCAAGACACACATCATTTACTGTTTTGAGCATTAAGACATTTATGCATGCCAAATGTTATACTGAAGACATTTTCTGAGGGAAGAACACTGCCACACAGAATGTAGTTTTCCCCTTCCTATGTCAACCAGGTTTCTCCATATTCACAGTTTTTGGAGATGCTGCCATTGCACAGTGGAGGCAAAGCTGCCTGTCAGCATTGCTCCAGACACCAGCCCCACTACATGGATTTGTCTCCATCTCTGTCTCATGCTTTGGATATTGAAATCCAGTAGGCAGACAGTACACTCTTCCTCTTCCCCATCTACATTTCTGAAACTGAGACAAGGTGGTATTGATCCATAAAAATTAAGTTTTATTCAATTGAGAATCTTATTATGGCAAATGTCAGCTCTTGTTTTCTCTTGTATTAGTGTCCAATTTTCTGACAAGCTAATAATGCAACATTCGTTTCCCCATCATTTTTGCATTGCTGAGGCAGAAAAATACCCGGAAGAGTAAAACGGGTTTCATGCATGAAGCAGCAGCTTCATCTACAATGTACAATAGAAAATTATGTAGATCTTTCAAAACCCAGATTTGTATTTTGTGCATTTATGAATGAAGCTAATTTTCACACAGGAAAAGCTGCTTGACCAATTTTTATTTATTTTTTTTCTTTTTTTTTCTTTCTATATAGGCCCATTCCTGATGACTTTTCAATTTCTTTCTTTTTTTGCTGATTTTGTCTTTCAGTTTTGGATGTTAATCTATTTCTAACTTCATTGTTTTAAGACCAAATTTACTGTGTTAACCAAAATGCCGAATAATATCCAAATCGAGGGCTTATTTGGATACAGCCTTGGCCCTTGTCAAAGTAGCTTTCATTTGCTGATATGCTGGACAATATTTTTGTTCAACTTTAATCCATTCCAACACAAAGCCACTGCACTTATGTCACATATGCCGCTGAACTCAGCTCCCACCCACAAGCCCTGTGGCAGGACACAGACATCCAAGTTTCAGCAGTACAAGTGATGGCCGTGCCTGCACCCTGCTTTTTTCCTTCTGCTGAATTATGTTCAATAGTTTGTAGATAACAAAACACGACATGAGGCTGGAGCAAATCCCGTAACACCTCTCTGAATGAATAATTAACAGGGGGGTTCATTCTTCTTTCACTGCTTCTGCTCTTACGCCAGCATGATGCCATTTGGTCTGCTGGAAGCACTCCTGATTTCCACTGAGACAAGTGAGAAGACTTAAAGACCTGGATATATAAAGGTAAATTATTATAAAATCATGTTAAAAGTTCAGCTCAAACCTTTCCATGGAAAGGGCTGAATTTCTGCTGCATCTAGGAATAGCAACATACGTGATAGCCATGTACAAGAAAATATTTCAGACCTCTTGATTTCCATGAATACCTGTATAGGTGAAACCACCTTCCAGGTGACTTCTTTAGGGATAGCCTAGAAACTGAGCTACCCTCTGCCCTAATCCACAGTGGTGCAAATCTATAGCCTGTGCCTGGACCTCAGCTCTCCTGAACTCATGGGCCACATCCTCAGCCGAAGCCGATCCAGATTTTAAATCCAGAAATAGACTTGCGCAATATGTTAAACCTCCCTTTGCTACAACAGAGCCCATCAGACTTCCTGCAGCAATTTCAGGCCCAGGCTACAACTCCTAGACGAGCCTGGGCACAGCGTTTGCAAAGACATCTAATTCACAGTGTCAGATGTCAAATAATGGACAAAAAATTTATCATTAATAATCTACTCTTGGTGTCCTTTGCCCTCATTTCTGGAAACAGGTGCTGTATTTTTAGGTTGAATTTGTTGAACATGAGGCACTAGTCATCTGCTATTAGGTATCTTCTCCTATCATTTCCGTCTTCACCGCAGATGAGTTACCACTGAACATTGCTCTGGGTCATTAGAAAAACACAGCTTCTTTCTAGCTGTCATGGTTCCTTCAGATTTCTAATCATGCTCATAGCTCCTTGCATTTTTAACACTCCATTTCCATCTTTTTGGTGGAATTCAAGTATTGAAGCACTTCCCTCTCCCTCTGTGTGCTGGACTATTTCCCTGCATATTGAGGGATTGTAATAGTCATCTCGTTTATCAGACCTGCCCAAATGCTTGTGACCCGTTGAACAGTCATCCCGATCCCTAAGTACTTCCCAGCTGCTGTTTTCCAAGAAACGTCCCCCAGACTGACCTACTTTCCTCCTCCCGAGGTGTATGATATATGTGGTTATATTAAAAAGCATGTTTTACAATTGATCTGTTTTTCACCGTGATCCAGATCAGTCAGTATAATTCCCTCATCCGTCGTATCACTTACTACCCCGCTCACTTTGTGTGTTGTCAGCAAAGATTTTATATTTTCTTCCAGATGCTGTTGAAGTCCAGATTAAGGACAGTTGTCATTCTGAAGGATCTCTCACCCTGAGACACTCATCACTGAATTTACAGTGTCACCACTGTTTACAATTACTTTTTGAGATCCATCACCATTTTAAATTAGTTTAAAATATATTTACTTGGCTTGCTACAAAGCTCGTGTTTTCTTCACAATGTCTCATGGTATCAGATTCCTCTCTGAAATCTAAGGATATTACACCAGCACAGTTACCGTCATCAGCATAATTTGTAATCAAATCAAAGGACCATATCGGTTTTACAAGAACTATTCCCATGAAATCACACTAACTAGCATTAATTATGCTATTTCTTTCCTGCATGTATCTTCTAGCAGCCTCACCATGACTTTGCCTAGTATCATTTTCACATTAAATGGTCTATCATCATCCCACTCATCCTTTTAAAATACTGCAATAACCTCCCTTGCTCGGAAGAAACTTGCAGGGAAGTGGCACCTCTGAAATAATTCCCTGATGGATAGCAAATGAGGGGACATGAGAGACTTCATGACTCGGGACAGGCAGACCTAAGTTAATTTACACTGGGCTCTAGTGTGGGCTGGAAAGCAGTGGGTGAGGCAGGGTCTTGGCACATGCATGGAAACCCCCAGGGTTTATAGTAACTGTCTGGTGGGATACTGGTTTTACTGGGGTCTTTTTTTGGGGACAGAGGGGCAGGACGGCAACAGTTCAGCCTTATTTTGAGGACCTCTCATGGGATGGAAGCTGCTGAGACTTGTGTCAAACGCAGAGGTCCCAGCCTGTTTGAAGACAGGGAAAGGACTGAAGTCTGATGGCTAGAGGTCCTCTTGGCCATCCGAGTACTACTCTGTGCCTTTGCCTCAAGACTAATTTCTTCCAAAATTTAGGTACAGCATCAATGAAATAAATCCTTTTCTGCAGCATAAATGAGAATTTTCTTGCTCCTATTCTAGCCATGCAGAGATCTTTCAGTTATTCAAGAAAAAGACATTATAATAATCCAAACTATTACTATTTTCTTACTGTCAGTGTTTGCTTCTCAACATTATCATTATTTAATCCATCACTGCGCTGGAAATTTTCCTGTGCATTTTGGAGCATATGAACTCCTAATAATGAAAGGTCTAACTGTCCCTAGTCGTGTTAAGTGTGGTTAGACAAACTAAAAATAAAATGATTTGATTTTCCAATAGCACGTATTCTCAATTACACTTTATCATAGTCTACAAGATAATTCACTACCTCTGACAGCTCAGAATGACAGAATATATCTCAGCTGCAGCAATGGTACAGGGAAGAAAAGGGATGTTGAGTCAGGGTCCAGGGGGGCTTACAAGTATGACCATGTTAGGAAGGAAACTTGCTGGGCTGATGCGTGTCTATTCCGGGTAAAATCTCCATCAAACCAACCTCTTGGCATTCTCAGATAGAGATGCGGCCTTTTTTACATGATTTCTTTCCTGTTTCAGTATCACTTTTCTGGTGCTTTGGGCTAGTCTTCCCACTGCCTTTTGGGTTTGAATCCAAATTTGTTAAACTGATGCAAAGTCATGAATGAAAATTCTTATGTCAGTTTTAGAAAATGTTCAAGGGGTTTCACTTGAACTTGCAAACCCACCAGTAGAAGCTAAGTGTTCATAAGCCAGATTTAAATTGATTTGAGAGAGTCCGTGCACAAATCACTCTGGTAGTTAAACTAGTGCAGCTTTTGCTGATACCAACTTCTGCTCAATTTGCGAATCTTTAATAAAGATTTAGAGTGAGGTCATCAGATGACATAGGAGAACTACAGTCAGTAGTGCAACATCACTTTGTGCCAGCTGAGGCTCTGCAGTTTGCTTTTGTTTTATTTTGTCAATAATCTTTAAAATATTGCCTGTGTTTGCAGAAAAGAATGTGATGAACAAAACAGTTCAGGTGTGAGTGCCCAGATGAATAAAGCCTTTTGAATATTTCTGTCTTAGTGCTAACAAAACAGAGACTGATCTGCAACTAGATTTCTCTGATCTTCATCCACGAAAATAATGTGATTTAGATAATCACAAGGTTTATGGGACAAAGCCATAGATCCCCAATGCTTGTCATCCACAGAAGAAGAAAAGTATGGATACAGTGTTTTCATAAATTGCTCAATCATTGTATTTCCTGGGCTCATAGAATCATGGAATGGTTTGGGTTGGAAGGGACCTTAAAGACCATCCCTTTCCAACCCCCCTGCCATGGGCAGGGACACCTTCACTAGACCAGGTTGCTCCAAGCCCCACCCACCTGGGCCTTGAGCACTGCCAGGGAGAGCGCAGCCACAGCTTCTCTGGGCACCCTGTGCCAGTGTCTCACCACCCTCACAGGGAAGAATTTCCTCCTAATATCTAATCTAAATCTCCACTCTTTCAGTTTGAATCCATTGCCCCTCATGCTGTCACTACCCTCCCTGATCAAGAGTCCCTCCCCACCTTCCCTGTAGCCCCCTTTAAGCACTGGAAGGCCGCTGTAAGTTCTCCCTGGAGCCTTCTCTTCTCCAGGCTGAATAACCCCAACTCTCTCAGCCTGTCCTCGTAGGGGAGGTGCTCCAGACCCTTGGTCATCTTCGTGGCCCTGCTCTGGACCTGCTCGAGCAGACCTGTGTCCTTCTCATGCTGGGGTCTCACCAGAGCAGAGTAGAGGGGGAGAATCACCTCCCTCGACCTGCTGGCCACGTTTCTTTTGATGCAGCCCAGGATGCAATTTGCTTTCAGGGCTGCAAATGCACATTGCTGACTCAGATTCAGTTTTTCATCCACCAATACCCCCAACTCCTTCTCTGCAGGGCTGGTTTTCTCTATTGTTAGACTCTCTAGCTTTCCGTCTTTTTTACTGCAAGGGTACCGCAATGAGAACAGTTAATTGCTAGGAGGTCAATGCATGAACTGAGATTTTCCAATAGTTCGTATTCTTGGACCAAAATGATTTGGACCAAACTTTTGCCTATGGGAAAGCTTTACCCTGAATATGAGTCAGTATGAAAGCTGTAGCGTTTTTGTTGGCCTGCTAGAGAGATTTGGGATCATCAGACAATATGAGTTGTTTTACGTGTAATTTTGTCACAGATTTGCTTTATCTTGCTATGTAATCTGCAAGATTAGCAGTAACCTCAGCTCATGCAGAACACAGTTGTCATCATCTGCAAGTCATGCGTAGTGCAAGGAGTTAAATAAAGTGCTTATCTAGACAATAATTGATTAGTGTAGCAAGTAGGCTTAACAAATAAACAGGTATGCTGTGTGGATATAGCCATGCTGGTGAAGGACTGCAGAAGGGAAAAAAATGAGTGCACAAGATGGAGAAAGAAACACAAGCTACATGGGTTTAATGTTAATCCTGGCAGTCCACATTAAAATAGCAATCTGTTCAAAGGGCAGATTTTATATATACATTCATTTGCTTTCCCTATCTTCAGCATTTCTAATTTTTGCTTTAATTATTACTGAAAAAGTCCCTAAGAACTGTCCCAGTCAGTCTCATTTTAATGTATGTGAAAAGCAGGGAGCAAACTTGTAGCTTGGTTATTCCCCTGATACGCCTTATAATTGAGAGGTAATTGTTAGCCAGATGCTTCCTTGGCCAAAAAGATGTTTTTTAAAGCCCAGTATGACAAGTTAGGCAGCAGGATTAGTTTATCATTAAATCCACCGGAGGATAAAGCTGTAACGATACAATTGCAATCAAGACAAAGGAGGGATTTCTGGTATTGTTGTTTTGATACAGCTTTATGATTAATTTCCTTTGGCAGACAAAATGAAGACAAAACCACATGCAACAGTTCCCTGTTACATGCTTGATGTCACACAGTTGCTCTTTGATTGATGCTTTATGTACTCTTACCCTCATCCCTTCGAACCGTGACAATGCTCTTAACGGTCGCAGAGCTCGAAGGGTCCTGAGGGATTTAATGGGACCCATTTCAGAGTATCCAAGTGTATTGGCGATGAGGCTTATTAAAGAGACCTGAATGGAGACACAAAGCAAAAATCCAATCTTTAGTACACTCCTGCCATTTTCCTTCTCTTCTGACTTTCCTTCCTGGAAAGAAACAGCTGGTTAGTGGAACAGTGGAAAAAAACATCTTAAATGGAAGCCATTAAATTAGATCAACAGAGAAAAAAATGGAGATTTTTACATTCGCACATATACAGTTGTCTTACCAACTCACAAAACCTTGGTTTCCACTTTAACGGAAAATTTATAGAAATACAGACTTTCAAAGTTGTCACTTTTCTTTTAACTAAGCACACAGACATGCTCTTATCATCAGCTTGCACAAAGCGGATGAGAAAGGAGATCACCATTACAAAACCACCACTCTGTGACGCTCGTGCTGTAGGTTTCCTGTGCACTCCTCAAGGTGTGTGTGTCTTCCACTATTGAAAATATGAGTCATGTATAAATGTTATAATTTAGGGCTTTCTGGATGAAAGTACCTGTAAGATCTGTCCATTTCCAGCAGAGAGAAAAGATTTTAGCAATATCATTCAATTACTAATCTTAAACTTACTGATTAGAAACAAGTCTTCTCGATTGCTGATAGACACGACTTTATACCATAGACTCTAAAAGAATGATGTGCATGACTCTTTGATTCTGCACTTTTTCACTTTTTTTCTGGTTTCTGCACAGCCTCTAAAGGAGAAAGAAACTTGACAGGTGCTCAATATTGAGGTTCATATCCTTCAAAGACTATTTATTTGAAAGAAAATATCTATTTCCAAATCTAGAGACATCATGGAGGGGTTCCAATGCTCTTCATGATCTCAGAGCTTTTGTAATGCCCACTTGGTCCAAAATGTGGATGTTATCAGGCACAGGACTGGAGTCTGGCTGAATTGAATGGCAGTGGAGATTATGGGTCAGATTAACAGACACATGGAGCAATGTGGGTTTTGCATTCTCAAATCAGTGGTCACAGCCTCAATCCCCACTAATCAGGGACTGAGAAACAAACAGCTCTCCAACACCATAGGTATCATGCCAATTTGCATGTGTTAAATAAAGAACCAAAATTAATCACCACGTATTATAAAATATTATTTTCTTAGAAGAGAGAGACCTATGCATATTGCTAATCACAGTGCCCTTACTCCCATCTTACTTTAGCTGTTTCCACAGCCCCAGGTATCATATTATTGGATTATCTCACACTCACCAATGTGAGTGTGCAAACCTTACCTGGAAGGAGTCTGCTTTCTGCCATTTTAAAGGTAGCAGCTAAGTCTAAAACCAGAGATTATTCTACACTATATAAAAACCAGGTGCTTAATGTAAAAGGAAACTCTAAGCTCCCCCATGAAGACAGAGCTCTAGTGGAAAACCTTCCTTTTCATTTTAGGATGGTGTGATTTTTCCTCTGAACCCCACTGCTGGCTGACCAGCCCAGCATCACCCATGAGGTTTGTGAGAAAGCAGGATAAGACGAGCCTTGTCCCCTAAGTCTCAGGCTAGTGTCCTCTATGGAGCAACCTTTCTCCTGAATGTGCATTTGTTCATGTACAAGCAGTGTCTGCACAGCTAAGCATCTTTGTAAAACCTGCTCAATTTGTTAAATTATTTACCTATTGATGGCTTTATTGTGGCATGTGGGTGACAGCAAGCCTAAGGTTAGGAGGTCTCAGAGACACCAAGCCTTGGCTGGATGCAGAGAGCTAGATATCTGCTGAGATACGACAGCCCACCTCTGCAGATGACTAAGTGGCACAGAGGCTGACTGTCACACTTTAACATGTCACTCTCTAACAAGGTGTGACACAAACTCACCTCCCATGAGCTGATGCGGAAGGAAGGTCTTAATAAACACTTCTGTATTTTAGTAGTGAGTGTGCTATAAAAACATCACAGTAGGCAGGCAGACTGGATTCAAGGTCTGATGTCTTAGGCCCCCTAGACACCAGGGAGGTAAAAATCACCAGTGAAACCTTTGCTTCCATCTCCTAGAGAGCAGATCTGAACCCGTGACATGAGAATGCCTAAGAAGTTACTTTAGAGTAAGTAATGCTATAGATTGGACATAATTCTTTCACCTAAATCCCTCTCAGTCAATGCTCAGAGTTAAAGAAGAAAATCTGTGTTTGACTTAAAAACCATCTTAAACTCACCAAAGCTTCCAAACTGAGGCAGCACCCATTTTCTGTCTTCCCTATTTCTTACCAGCCTCGATTACATCCTGTACTCTGAAGTTGCATTAACATACAGTCCAAAGCCTTCTCCTTTCATTCACTCTCCTCATTGACTCAGTGTTGCCTAAATAACAAAAAGGGCTGAAGGATTTGTCTGATAGCAGTATGCAAATGTGCAGCATACTTATGTACTAAAGCCATTCAAATAAGTCATCCTAAAATGTAACATAACTGGCATTATTGAGATACCATGATAGGACTAACACTGTGGCACATATTTCTATGTCAGAAAGTTTAGTGCAGAAAACAGCCTTAACTCCACAAACCCTTGGATCTTCCTATACAGAAAGGCTGGAGGTATAAGAAAAAAGCAGCTGAATGATAGAATGCTCAGTGGTAGAAACAAAGTTCCATACACTCAGGTAGCATTTGTAAAATGAATGTAGAGATTTAAAAGAAAATTAATCAAATAGGGAGCATCCAGCATCCTTCTTTGCTAGCTTCACCCACAAGGACTGAAAGCCAGATCTTCTCAAGGTCTTCAAACTGCCTTGGTTGGTGCCCCTACGTGCTTCCTCCCTCATCCTGGATTTGCGTCCTATAACTCCCCTTTCTTTCAAGGCAGAAGACGTTCTGTTTAAATCTTGCAAGACCAGACTTCAGATCTGAGTGGGCTGCCATTTTCTTTAGAGTGCCGTAAATGTCACCGTGAAACACATCACAGGTGCTGTTGTCCTCCTGACACAGATTTACACAGCATTAGATATCTCTTCAGAGGATTAGGCCGCAAAGCTGTGTGACATTTGGCAATGATTTACAAGGCTAGAGTCAGAACCTAGTTTGAGAGAACTTGTTTAAACGCTTGGATGTTGGTTTTGAAGGTATCCCCGTCAAATTTTATTTGTAGTAGAATTACTAACGCAGAGACTTGGCCATTTGGACCTGATTAAAAGTGACCCGGAAGGCTATTTTTAGGAAAAAATTCAAGCAGTTTTCAAAATTGGTGCTGACTGCCCCACATAATCACAGCAAAAGGTGAAGTCAGCTGTTTCTGTTACTTTTTTTTTTCCTGTTACAAGGCTGTGCAGCCCAGAGCTGCTTTAAGATTCTGCTTTGTGTCTGCCCGGTATCAGAGACGTGCTGGCACCCACCAACACCTCCAGGGTCAACGTAACCTCTAGGTTCACAAAATGGCACACATTTCTAATCCTTTCAGTATCTGCAAATAATTTTGTAGGTTTTTCAGAAAAAAACCTTGTCTGAATACCAGCAAGCACTGTAACATTGTGGAGAGCCGATGAATCCTAAGAGGTCACTATTGCTTGGAAGCATTTCCCATAAAATGCACAACCTGCTGTTGGGCTTGGGCTTTCACCTCATCTTCACCCTTCACATGGCATGTGTGCTAACAGGTAAGCTACAGAGTCTCTCATCCTCCTGTGCACTTCTTCTGACCCAAGAAGCCTTATTATTATTCTCATTTGCAGATGCTCTGCTTCTAGGGGTTCCCTTGAGGGTGTTTGCAGAACGTGCTAGATCTTACTAAGAAACTTTCACAGCTTTCCAATGAGAAAATGAGAGCTTTGAAATCTTGTGACTGCATTGAACACTAGAAATACCAGCCATGGGGATTACCAGGCCTGTAGATGGTGTTTTGAAAGCCAGCCTCCTGTCATCTATGTGGCTCAGGGGCATCAGCAGCACAAGTCTAGAGTGCCCCATTGTATGATATTCATACGTGTTTCCAGGGCAAAATCAAGAAGAATCAATGAATTTAGACTGCTAGAACACAGGCAATGATCTCTGAAGAGAGGTTAGCCTCACTGGTAACTGTTCAAAGTTACTGCTATTATGTTCTAATGAGAGTAATTTATTAATTATTTTGACAATACACTACTAGATTTTACTTGACCAAAGGAAAAATAAAGCTATCTTGTCCAGGAATCGGGTTGTTATTTCAGTAACGGTCATTTATTTATTTTACTATTTTATTGGAATGTTGTCATTCTTGAGATGAGAAACACGACTTACGTATTTGTACCCAGGTGGCACCTATGTAGTGTTTGGTTCCCAGTGTGCTCACATTGGTGCTTAGAGTAATTCATCAGTTAACAGATATGGAACATTTTTGGACTATTAAAATTGTTCATTATGAACACACAGAGATAAAGCTATACAATAGGTATATATATCTTCATTACCTGACAGTGACTTAAGAAATCAGTGTTGTAAACCAATGTAAACCCCAGTAAAGCTGTCAGAAGAGGATTTTAAGGTTGCAGAAAACAATTATAAAGTAGGAAGTGCAATAATGCAGCTTCCTTTCAGCACACACGGGGGAAACAGTTTTTAATCAAAAGATCACAGACTCTTTTTCCCAAGGAGCTGTTTCATTTATAACAGTAGTGGGGTTCCTTCCTATGTGCATACATTTTAATCGCGTATTAGTAGCATGCAGACTCCGCAGCCATGAAATTATGCTGGTGGCAGTAATTGGAAGGGCGTAGTCTTTGGGACCAGTATTTCACCTGAGGTTGACAGAGTTTCCTATAGTGAGGAGGTGGGTTTGAGCTGGAATAAGGGCTGCTCCTCTCTTTTTCACAGTCCTTCCCACCAGCCTAAAAGCACACCTTTTCAGATAACCAGTGAGCATCCACTGGACTGAGCTGGAAGCAGACCTGAGCAGCACCATCCAAAGGCAGATGCTACTCAGCATAGACTGCGTTTTTGAATTAACCCCAGATCACCACTGAGATGAATTAATAGTAGAGGCCAGGGAACAAGATGTTCTGCCTGAACAACAGTAAAATCCTCCTTGGCTGGTCATATAAATCCTAA